TTTTTTTTTTTTTCTTCTGATATAGGGTCTTGTTCTATTGTTGGGGCTAAAGTGCCCAGGCATCATCATAATTCACTGCAGCCTCTAACTTCTGCACTCAATTTCTGGTCTCAGCCTCCCTTGTAGCTGGGACTATAGGTATTGACCGTATTGAGCTAATTTTTCCTATTTCTTTGTAGAGAGGAAGCCTCACTCTGTTGCCCATGCTGGTCTTGAAATTCTGGTCTCCAGTGCTTCGGCCTCTCAAAATGCTAGGATTATAGGGATCAGTCACTGTGCTTGGCCAGAAATTTCTTTTATAACATCTCTAGACATCAATTTTTTGCTTAAACAGGTAAAGAGATAGAAATTTATAACTTTTTCTTTTCTTTTCTTTTCTTTTTTTTTAAGAGATAGAGTCTCACTTTGTTGCCCTGGGTAGAGTGCTAGGGTGTCATAGCTCACACTAACCTCAAACTCTTAGGTTCAAGTGATCCTGTTGCCTCAGTCTCGCAAGTAGCTAGGACTACAGGCACCTGCCATAATGCCAGGCTGTTTTTCTTTTTAGAGACAGGGTCTTCCTCGTGCTCTGTCTGGTCTTGAACTCCTGAGCTCAAGCAATCCACCAGCCTTGGCCTCCCAGAGTACTAGGATTACAGGCATGAGCCACCATGCCTGACCCAGGAAATTTGTAACTTTTCAAGGTAACTTATTAAATATAATATTTTGTTTTTTGAAAGGTACTCTGTTTTTTTTTGAGACAGAGTCTCAAGCTGTCACCCTGGGTAGAGAACCCTGGCATCATAGCTCACAGCAACCTCCAACTGTTGGGGTCAAAAGATCCTCTTGCCTTTTTTTCTATTTTTAGTAGAGAAGGGGTCTTACCTTTGCTCAGGCTGGTCTCAAATTTGTGAGCTCAAGCTATCTACCCATCTAGTCCTCCCAGAGTGCTAGGATTACAGGCGTGAGCCACCAAACCCGGCCTTGAAAGGTACTCTTTATGTGGATTCTTCTATAACTTCCCCTCAATAACCTAATCATAATAACTCATGAGTCCTCAAAACAATTCACTGTGCATAGAAAGAATTCTTTTTTTTTTTTGAGACAAAGTCTCAAGCTGTCACCCTGGGAAGAGTGTCATGGCGTCACAGCTCACAGCACCCTCCAACTCGGGATCAAGCAATCCTCTTGCCTCAGTTTTTCCATTTTTTTAGTAGAGACGTGGTCTTGCTTTTTGCTCTGGCTATTCTCAAACTGGTGAACTCAAGCTATCCACCCACCTCAGCCTCCTAGACAGCTAGGATTACAGGCATGAACCACCATGCTATGGGCACGGAGCCCATTTTAATGATTTATTTACTTATTTTTTGAGACAGAGTCTCAGTCTCAAGCTGTTACCTGGGTAAAGTGCTGTGGCATCATAGTTCACAGCAACCTCAATCTCTTGGGTTCCAGCAATCCTCTTGCTTCAGCCTCCCTAGTAGCTGGGACTATAGGCACTCACCACAATGCCTGGCTAGTTTTTCTATTTTTAGTAGAGGCACTATCTCACTCTTGCTGACACTGGTCTCAAATTCCTGAGCTCAGGCTGTCCACCTGCCTCGGCCTCCCAAAGTGCTAGGATTATGTGCATGAGCCACTACACCCAGACTACAGTGACATTTAACATTTAGCTCACCTGTGGGACCCTCACTCATTCATATGTCAGATACTCAAGCTAATGAAAGACCCGGTGGAGGGCAGCACCTGTGGCTCAAAGGAGTAGGGAACTGGCCCCATAAGCCAGAGCTGGCAGGTTCAAATCCAGCCACAGCCAAAAACTGCAAAAAAAAAAGACCCAGTGGAAAATTCTGCAATTGACAGCTTTGACTTTCTTTTTTAGTTTGCTTTCAGATGACTGTGATATGTTACAATTTATATATGCCTGCGTAGGTAGATTTATAGTTTATATTATCTTAAATAGTAACATTTTAACAATACTTTGCAATGATACAGGGAGTAATCATAAAAATCAAACTCTTTTATGTCACACTGAAGTTTCCGTGTATGTCAAAGCAAAGTACTATTCTGCTACAATGTAAGCTCCACAAAGGAATTTTATTCTCTAAAGAATTGTGCCTGCACACAGAAGGTGCTCTATAAGTTTCTGTTGAATGAAACCACTTAAAAGAATTGTTGAATTTGAAGGTTAGTAATAGGCTAGGGGCAGTGGTTCATGCCTGTAATCCTAGCACTCTAGGAGGTGGAGATAAGTGGATCACTTGAGCTCAGGAGTTCAAGACCAGCCTGAACAAGATCAAGGCCCTATCTCTACTTTTTTTTTTTTTTTTTAATTTTACTACAGGTGCCCGCCACAACAGCTGGCTATTTTTTGTTACAGTTGTCATTGTTGTTTTAGCTGGCCCAGGCCGGATTCAAGCTAGCCCGGGCCAGATTCAAACCTGCTAGCCTCTGTGTATGTGGCTGATTCCATAACTCCTGTGCTATGGGCACTAAGCCAAGCCCCTATCTCTACTAAAAATAGAAAAACTAGCAGGGCATCAAGGCAGGCATCTGTAGTCCCAGCTATTAGGGAGGATGAGACAAGAGGATTGCTTGAAATCAAGAATTTGAGGTTGCTCTGAGCCAAGATGACACCATAGCACTCTACTTAGGGTGACAGAGTAAGACTCAGTCTCAAAAAGAAAAAAAGAAAAAGAAAAAAGATTAGTTACATACCAAGTTTGTAGATAAGTGCTGAACAGAAATAAATAAAGGGAAAAGGAAAGCCATTCAACTACATGAGGAATGCTATCCCAATTCTTTTCTTTTCCATGATGTATGTTAATATTTCCTGCTTTTTCTATTCACATAGTGTGAGACCTCATTATTGGTACCTTGCGTGACAATCTATATTACACTGTTTTTAAAAAAATCAAATACTGGCTGGGTGCAGGGGGTTATGCCTGTAAATCCAGCACTTAGGAGGCTGAGGCAGGAGGACTATTTGAAACCAGAAGTTTGAGACCAGCCTGGGCAACATAGTGAGACCCCTAGTGAGACCCCCATCTCTAAAAATATTAAAAAATGACCTGAGTTGGCTTGGCACCTGTGGCTCAA